GACTTCTTAATTACTGGAAGAAGAATATTAAAATCTCTGTGATGACGAATTTGTTATTCTTGTCGATTTTTGTTTTCTAAGTTGTTACACTAGGTCTGCATCAGTTTCTTATGCATTCAAGTTGGTATGTGTTATTCATCAGTATGCTGTTTGGCAGTTGTAGTTACTAACATTTCTTCAAAAAGCCTGCAGAAGCTCCTCAAAAGTAGAGATTGAACTCTAGACATTGTAGACATCAAACCTGAGAACAAATAATTGGAATACAACCCTCTCACTCTTTCCCTTAATCAGCTGGCTCTCCAGGAAGAACCAGCAGAAAAATCATGTTCTGAATTCCTTCCTGATTACAGGTAGCATCCTGAATGGGAAGGCCAAGCAGTTACGTGCAAGGCTGCGTTAAAGGATATGCCCTGTTTGAACAGCTGCATCCAGACCTGCATTTCCTTCCAGAATCCTTCAAAAAAGACGAGCTTGCTTAAGATTTAGCCAACTATTGGGTCATTGCCTACTTCTGGGGTTGGGGGAGGTTGTCTCTGAGCTGGAGTTGGAATCAGGTCTTGGGAGCCCAGGCGCATCATATGACACGTTCTAGGTGAAGATGGAGTTTGGCAGGGAAGAGACTTGGCCAGGTCTCCTGGGAAGAGGATGTGACCAGGTGGCTTTAGTTTCAACGGTGTTAGACAAGTTTGGGCCAGGTCCAACCATACTAGACAGAAGGGGGCTGTGAGCATTTTTCAAGGACTAGTTAGAATGCCGATAGAACCACGGGGGTCCCAGAAAAGAGGCAGGAAGAGGCAGTCCTCTGCCAGGGATGGAAGGTGATGAGATGTTTCAGAGAACAAAAAGGGCTTAACCACTGACCTCTCCCACATGTGGTCAACTGCCTCCATTAAGATTGACCTTTAACAAAAATGGGGCCTCCATCATTCTCCAGAGAATACCCAGCCTGCAAGTGCCCAAAGATGCTACAGACCTTCCTATGTGGGCACATCAGGAGAGAATGTTGACAGGACCTTGTTGACCTGGCCTCGCTGAGGGTCCAGTAGGCCTGCCCATGAGCTCTGGCAAGCAGATCCCAGAAGACTAGACACTGGCAACTCTCATCAGGATTTCCAAAGGGATGAGGAATTGAGGCCTACACAGAAGGTTTGTGTGCTTTTAACAAAGAGAGGAAGTGGCAATTCCCAAGAGCCAACATGAGCTGGATCAAATGAAGGAAAACTGCAAACCTGGCCTCATTTTCTCCTGTGGTAACAGAGTTCACACCACACAGAAGACAGTGTTTAAGCACCTCACACGTGCTAGTCCCTGCTAGAGGATTTCCATAATCTCATTCACTCTTACAAGCACCCTGAGGACACCCAAGCACAGAGTTGTCACCTGCCAAGTTGCACCACTTGGGAAAGCAAGATTTGAATGCAGAAATCCCTTTGAATACAGAACCTGGTAACTTTCACTATATTTTGTTGATTTTTTTTAGAGTAGTTTAAAAAAAAAAAAACAATGACGACAACAACAACAACCTAGAAGCAAATATTAAGCCTGAAGATTTAAGGAGGGGTGTGTGGACGTGGACAAGACCAAAGTCCTGCAGTGTGGAAACAAGATTAGATGTCTCCTGTTAACTCTATCAGGCTGGCTCAGAACCAATGAGTAGAAGCTAAAAGGAAGAGGTCAACCTACTAAGGATGTTCTCACACTTAGAACTGTTCAAAGGGGGATGTGCCAAATGGCCTTCATTAGGGGATTGGTTAATGAAAGCATGCCATATTGATATAGCCAGCTCCTAAAAATTACATCCGAGAATTTAAGTATCTGGAGGAATGTCCAGTAGGAAAAAAATGAAAAAGAAAGAAGAAAAAATTATGAATATGATTCCATTTATATGAAATGTCCAGAATAGGTAAATCCATAGATGCATAAAGTGGATTCATGGTTGCCAGGGTTAGGGGAAAGGGAGAATGGGAAGTGACTGCTTATAGGTACTTTTTGGGTTGATGAAAAAGCTCTAAAATTCGATACTGATGGCCACACAATCTTGTAAATGTATTAAAAACCATTATTAAAAGAGTGAATTTTGGGAACCCTGGGTGGCTCTGGTTGAGCATCTGCCTGTGGCTCAGGTTGTGATCCCAGGGTTCTGGGATCGAGACCCGCATCAGGCTCCCCATAGGGAACCTGTCTCTCTCTGTGTCTCTCATGAATAAATAAATAAAATCTTTTTTTTTAAGGGTGAATTTTATGTTACATGAATTGTATCTCAAGAAGAAAGCATAAGGAACAAAAAGGTTATATGTGTATATAATATACACAACATGTAATTGCATATAATAAAGAATGATGTGCTTAGTTTTATACCTACAGATCCCAATTTTGTCAATTATATCTCTGCATCCATGGGGTAAGAAAAAATTCTGGAAGGAAATACTAAGAGTTAACTGTTTTACAGGGTAGTGGGGTCATTTGATATCAGATTTTATACAGAAACATACTTCTGGTAAAAATAGGAGTGGGCAAGCTTCTTATCATGGGAAGTATTCCCCAAAATTTGAGAATCACCAGATATGGATATTTGCACTGAGTTTGACCTACAATGATCTAGTCCTTTAAAAAAAAAAAAAACAGGCTCCACCCCCAGCATGGAGCCCAATGCAGGGCTTGAACTCACAACCCTGAGATCATGACCTGAGCTGAGATCAAGAATCAGACTTCCTGACTGAACTGCCTCAGCCACCCAGGCGCCCCTGATCTAGTCCTTTTAACTGAAGTATTATTTTTTCACTTATTTTCTATTTTCTTTTTATAATCTATCATCTCAAATCTTGCCTCTGGTACCGATCTGGGGAGAGGGGGGGCGGTGGGAATCTTTTACTGTAAAAGAGTAACTGAACAAGAAAGTCCCAACTCGAAGGGCAGACTACAGCCCAACAAGGGGAAGGACATTAGTCTAAAAGCAAACTGTCTAAATAAATAAATAAATAAATATAAATAAATAAATAAATAAATAAATAAATAAAAATAAAGGCAAACTGTCCATGTTTACATGCAGCCAGGATACAAAGAGGATACGACAAACTTTAAGAAATTGTCTTACTAATGGAAGTACCTCCAGATTCTTCCCCTTTGTCTTTGTAAACGTGAAAACGAAACTTTGAGAGGAGACGTTTCAAATACTACCTGAGTGTGTAAATACCCACTCACTCCAAAGGTTGCCAGCACACAGGAGGAACGTAATTCTTATGAGGAAAGCTGGTGTTTTTTTTAAGCTCACGTTCAGGGATTGTCAATGGGAGAGGCAGGAAAGCCATCGGGCTCCTCTGCCCCCCTCTGCTCTCCCCGGTGGGGTTCTGGAGTGTGAGCTAACTCCTCCCGCTCCCTGGCAGAGGGTTGAGGGCAGTGGGAGAGAAGCTCCAAGCTATAAAAAACTTTCAAGTTTTATTTCCTTCTAAGGCATCCTGAGTCATTGGGTGCTCCAGCCCCCACTGCCCAGGGAAGTTCAGCTCAAATCGGAAGTGTGTGTGTGTGTGTGTGTGTGTGTGTGTGTGTGTGTGTGTGTTTCCTGAACCAAAGCCGTTGCAAATCCAGATGACGTTGCCACTTGGACTGGATCTCTCGCAGGCAGAGTGGGAGCTTCCTATTTCCGTCCTGGGAGGAGGATGGAAGTCACTTAATGATCAGTTCTCTGACCCACGTTCCAATATTACATCACAGTCTAACAGCAAAGCTTACCCTCCACTCCACCCCCAACACGGAGCTGCTAACACTTTAAAAATCCCATTTGTCACCTCAAAGCATATAGCACGCCCACATTATTTTGCCTCCCACCCTTTAGGCCACACTTCTTCTTTTTTTTTTTTTTTTTTAAGATTTTCTTTCTCATTTATTTGAGAGGGAGCCTGAGTGCACACTCGAGAAAGCATGAGAGGGAGCATGAGGGAGCAGGAGCAGGAGGCGCAGAGGGAGAGGGAGAAGCAGACTCCTTGCTGAGCAGGGAGCCTGACCCAGGGCTCGAACTCAGGACCCCGGGATCACAATCCCAGCAGAAGGCAGATGCTCCACCAGCCGAGCTGCCCAGGCACCCAGGCTGCAATTTCAATTTAAACAAGTAATGTCAAGCTGGCTTGGTCAGAATCCCAGAAAGCTAGTAGGTTCAAAAGTCTTACTTTTAACTGAGGAGGAAACTGAGGCCCCAGAGAAGCAAAGCACCCACCCATAGCTGCAGAGGGACAAAACCAACAGAGCCGGGCTGAGACAGTGTCAGGGCAGAAGGCTCCGTCCCCGCAGCAGGGTCACAACCTTTACTGCAGCTCCTGTATACAAGAGGAGCCAAATGCTCCCTGGAATGGGCCTTCCAACCAAAGCAGCAGCTCTGTCATCTTTCCCCTTCTTTTCAGCCGTCTGGCTGCTTCTGCGTAGAAGGAAACAGGCAAGGCAGCCTGCAAAAAAAGATCCTTCTGGAAACAGAGGTGGCCTTTCCTGCTGGGGCACTTTGTCTAGGATCAGGGTCTGGGACAGGACCTATTAAGGGGAAGGTTTCAGCTCCCAGGTTGTAAAGCTGAGTCCCATCCCGTTTCCCAGGCTGCTCGCTCTAGACATGATGGCCAGGAGACGTGCGCTTAGGTCATTTAAAACTCCTGTCCAGTTTTTACAGTGTAGTTCTTCACGCAATCCCTAAAGAAACTGGGGGTTAACGCCGAGGTCAAAGGGCAATGAATCTTCCTACAGCGCGCGTGTTCGAGTAAAGCCAGCCCGGATACGGTTAGGAGGCCTCGAGGTCATGTTCCAACATCAGCTCTTGACGCCTGAACGGAAAACTAGAGCAAGCTGCCATGGGGACGGGTCTGTGGTGTCCCGGGCGCCTCGTGCTCACTTGCTGTCCCAGAGCCTGGGGGGGGGAGGGGGATGACACCTGAGCGCAGGTGGACCTCGTTCCCGTCAAGCGGAGGGGACAGAGGGCAGGGCTACACGAGCTACAAACCTACACAGTTCACAGTTAGAGATGAAAGGCTGCAGAAATGTTTATTGGATACAGTGCCAGGTTTATAAATAAAACTTATTTACAATTTCCATAGAGTTGGTCCCCCATCAGAGAGGTGGTTAAATCTCCAAACAGTTTATCTCAAGATTTACAGAAACGTTCAAGTACATCTCCTTTTTCGAATCGCCACGGTAAAGGGTAGCTTCTGCATCGGAACTAGCGCCATCCTTGCTACAGACGTGCTCAGGAACGTTAGGAGAGCTGGAGAAAGAACACACACTCCACCCAGGCCGCTACCTTCTTACTCCAAGGGATACAGACAGCAAAGGGTTTCTGTCTCCTATAGGACAACTTCGAGGGATTGGGAAAAAGAAAGGAAAATACTAACTGCCAGCTGTAGGGGATAGGTTAGTAAGACACATTCGTGGAATCTTCGTCACTGCCAAAAAGGATCATGTGTTTCGGATATACAATAATTAATTCAAATGTTTAAAATAATTGATGAACAAAGAGCAGACTTTTGACCAAATTTACATTCTTGGTTTAGGAGGAAGTTCCCAGTATGCTGAGGGGCTAATCATATGCTGCTGCTCTTGACGGGCCGCAGCAGCACGTGGGAGGCCTACTGGACGGCCGCTCTCGTCACAACACAGGTTACAGGTACAGTCAGACATGCATTTTATAAAGAGAATATAAAAATATGTACAGTAGCTAATTTTCCATGTGTTTAAGTTGCCGAAAGACACCAATTAAAGTGTGCAAAAATTCATTTGTCTAAAAATCAGAAAAAGCCTTCCTTGGCAACAGTGCGTCAAAAGCCCATCTGAAACGTTGAGATGCATTTGCCTTGCTCAACACCTACCCCCAACAGATGGAGAACAAAACTATGAAAGTGTTTGCCAAGTACTCAGCAGTTTCTTATGGCAAGTCTCAGGCTCAAGCGGGATGCCAGTTAAACTAGTCACTTTATATATATAAATATATGTATATATTTATAGAGCAGTTAGAAGTAAGGGGCAAGAGTTTACAGGGAGGTGCTAACCAACTTTTAAGGGTATGGACCCAACACCCAGCTCTGTCCTCTCACAAACTCATGCAGTCTGCAAACACCCCACCTGGGCTGGTCTTCCCTGAAGCCAGAGGGAATAGGCTGCAGAGGATGGGGCTGCCCCTCTGCACCAAGCTGGGACTCGACACTCCCTGGGGGAAAGGCTTTTCTTCCCATACAGGATGCTGGCCATGGAAGAATATGGTTTCAAAAGCAGTCTTTTAGGAAGGGTTGTGGGACCACTAAAATGGAGCCCACCTAGCTTCTAGAAAAAGACTTGATGAAAGAGTTAAGACAGAAGGCAAAGTGTTAAAAACAAGTTCAGTTACCCCCAACCCTCTTTGAAATGACCAAGAAGCCATCAGGACATAGGCCTGAGATGGGTCAGGACTTGGGCTCCCTGTAAGAAACATCCAGGAGCCCTAGGTCTTCCCTGTCTCACCTGAACAACCTCCAAGGTGTTCTCAGGTGTTCCTTCCAGATTCGGGGAGTTATGGAAGTCACCTCTAGCTCTGGGTCTCCTCTTCTATAACCACCCAGTCTAAGGACCAACAGCAAAAGTAGATGGGCGGGCTCCTCTCCACTGCTCTGACCCATCCCTCTGGCAGGAAATCTAACAAGCTGCAAAATGCCAGAAAGACAGGGAGTAGGAGAGGGAGAAGCCAAGGGTCTCTATAAATCAGCCCTGAATGCACCCATTTGGCTGCCAAGAGCTTGTCGCTGCCTCGCTAGCAGCCTGCCGCTGTTCCCTGGCAAATTAAAACCTCCCACAGAAAACACTCAAAACCCAACTCTCCTCACTGGTGAGATACAACCAGTTAACACCCTGAAAAATGCACATCCAGCCTTCATTTCAGAAAGAGTTCTGCACTAAATGCAATATTCCTTTTTAAAGGTTTTTTTTTTTTTTTTTTTAAAAAGCACACCAATCCCACTGCAAAAACCAGTACCAGTATCTCAGTTTTGGTTACAGGTTTATGAGACACAAAACCCCCTCTAGGCTGGAGTTTGACTTTCAAGCTGGGGGGCTAGAGTTAGTTCTACTTGGGGGTGGGGGGAGGCAGGGAAGCAAAGTCAAGTCAACTTTAGGGAAAAAAAAAATTGAAAAGGAGACTGAAGTTAAAATCATAAATTAAAAATCATGAATCAAAGGTGACCGGTAGTGTCTTTAGGCATCAAGACTGGCTTAGAAGGGACTACTGCTTCTACCACACAGCGAGGATCGAATTACAGACAGACACACTAAATCATGTCTCTTGCACAGGTGGTCTCAAGTAGTTACATAAAACAGGTAATCAGCAGCACGATTGAGAAGAACCCCTAAGTACATGCTTGAGAAAAAGTGGTTTTTTTTTTTTCCTTCATTAAGAGCGCCACTGCCTGAATAGTCATTAAGTTACCAGGGTTCACTCCCCGCCCCCCTCCCCCAGTGAAAATACAAGTAGACCTACATGTCCATTGATAGGATGAAGCAAACTGCCATCTCTGGTTTTAGGCAAGGTCTCAGGCTCAGAGGTTGGTGCTGGGGTATCAGGGAGGGGAGGGTGGGAGTGTGAGAAGCCCAGTGTTGGGCGGTGGGCTTTTAAAAGGTCCTGACCTCTCCTCCATTGCCTTGTCCCCGTTTAGATCTCAGCTTTACAAAGCATTTAACACCACTTTAAGTTAATGGTCTTTTTATTGGAAAAAAAAAAAAAAAAAAGACTAGCATTTACAACTTGGAATGGACGTAAATTGTAATTTCTTGATCAGCAATGTTGATGGTTGTGCTGAAGTCCACAGCCACAGCCTAATCTGCTGGCTCCAAGTCATGGTTCAGGAGGTTTTAAAAACAGAGAGTCCAAAGATGCTCCCTTGGTAAAGGTTTTTTTTCTTTTTTTTTTTTTTTTTAAATTTCTGTGTGAATGGTGACAAGCCTGACACCCATTTTCGCTCTAGTACAACGCAGACAACGCTAAACCAACACACGCATGCCACCAGGATGTGTGTCATCGTCACCATGGGTGGGGGGAAGGGGCACATGGAAGTATGGGAGGGCCGTCCTAAGTGGGGCTACATCTAGACAGTTTATCCTTCACCCATTTTTCTGCACCGCATCCTGAGGTAAACCAATTTTAAATGTTTTCAGTAAACCAGCTATGACAATTTCTACTAACAAATTGAACTAGAACCCAGTTGAGTACGTTTTAGATTTGTTTTTTCATTTTTCGTTTTTAATACAAATGCCTGACTGTGCTCAATTGTCAAGCTGCATGCATGAAAAACTGGCCAGCCCAAACAGTGTATTAATCATGAGCAAATGGAACTGCAAGGAGTCCACTAAGTGCTTCCTTATCATTAAGGTAGTACAAGTATTTATATCGTAAAACTGATGTGTAGCTTGATCTTTAGGGGACAGGACCACCACCCAATACATGCAGATTTTGTGTGTGTGGACAGAAGGTACTTTTGACATTCAGTTTTGCTATATAGAAACAGAATGAGTAAATGAACTTTTTTTTTTTTGCAAGAGGTAAGTAAAAGATTCAATTTGATTCTTCTAGAAGGGGGAAAAGGAGTTGAAAGTAGGCCTTCATTTTGCAGTCATCATCTGTACGAATTCTGAAAAGACAAACAATCATAACTTTCGGTTATCTTCAAAAGCAGCTTTAATGCACACAACATCTCTACTCTGCATCAAGAAAATAAATGTAGATCAGTGTCTGGTGAAGCAGTTAACTTGTTCATAGACACCAAAGGGAAGACTATTAAAAACGAAGCTAAAGAGGTGTAGTGCTTTTTTACCTTCATAGTTGACTTGCCCATCTCCATCAATATCTGCTTCTCTGATCATTTCATCTACTTCTTCGTCTGTTAGTTTTTCTCCTAAGTTTGTCATGACATGACGTAGTTCTGCCGCACTGATGTAACCGTTGCCATCCTGTGAATGTCAAGCAGGTATCACTGGGAGTGGTAGGCAGTGTTTCTGAACGGGCAAGCAGCTCTGTGACTTATGCATGCCCTCGGGCAGCACTGCTAACTCTGCACATGGTGACAGCTGGCCCAGCTCCGGCTCCCACCCTTACCCACCACATACATGCACCCGGTGTGCACCAAAAAGGTGAGGGCTTGGCTAGAGCTAACAGATGGTGCGCAGCAATCAAGAAATCTCAGTTCAGACCTCCCCACTACTAACAATGCTTACCCTCACCCAGTGAGGCTGCCGTAACGAGTGGGCACATTTGGAAGTGAGATCGCAGAGCCCCAGGCAATTGTATTTAAGTGTTCAAAGTGTGTTAGAAGCAGTAGCCAAACAGCCGTATGTGTAAGTGCCGTCTCCAACACAGACCCAGGATTACCTTGTCAAAGACTCGGAATGCCTCGCGAATTTCTTCTTCACTGTCTGTATCTTTCATTTTTCTAGCCATCATAGTCAAAAATTCCGGGAAGTCAATGGTGCCATTACCTCAAATTAAAAGACAAAAGCTCATGTAAAATAAGTGCTTCGGTAATGCTACTCGGCCGTCATCCTCTTAAAAGCACTTTATAAAATGGTTAAGACTCACCTGCACAAATCAGTAAGTTATCTTATTAGGTTAAACCACTTGTAAGTCTAAACTGTTCAAATACTTTGCAGGGTAATTTCACATGATTCATGGGATTCAAACTAGTAATCAGGGTGCCAGCCAGCCCTTCTTGATGCAAAGGACACCGCACGTGTAGGTTTGTGACCACTTAAGGCAGTTGTGTAACTCCAGAGGAAAAAGCACATGGCACCCTTCCATTCCTTCCTGCCCCCGCCCCACCAAGCGCAGGTGAGCACTTGGACCTACCTCTGCCTTGGCTAGTGATGCTGGTCGAGGCCCAGAACTGGCCAGCCAGTATAACAAAATGTTTTTACAGAAGACAAGGATTACGGAAGGGGGAAAAACAGACTTTGTTATGCCACAGACAATAAAGTATCACAAAGTCTTCTCCAGAAGGCATTTCTTGGCCACATGAGAAGTCATCTAATCACTTTTGTTTCCAAAATCAAGATCTTTGTTTCCCAGTAAGGGCAAGGCTGGGAAGTGTTTTCATAAGTCGACCATGACGACCACTTAGGAAAATGTCGGAATAGTCTGTTCTATGGCCAGTACCCCCAAACAACTTCTGCTCTTAACACTAAGAATTAGGTGAGCACCGCCCCCCCCCAAAGACAAGCCACCAGTTTAACAGAGTAACTTGACTTAAACAAAAACAAAATTAAGTTAAAAGAAAAAAAGCCTTAGGTTAAGTTACTTATTTTCACCAGTACCTTAAAATCAAAGTAATAATTCAGAAATCTCTTTTGGCCTTCAAAATTTTAAAGCATTTATGATATTCACGTAACACAAAGTAAATTATTTGAGGTGCTATCTCACGGCCATGCAGAGAAGACATCCTCAGGCATTACATTTATTCTTTGTAAATACTAGATTCTGGAGCCTGAGACAATTTCTCCCTCCTTGTTCATACAATCTCAGAGCCTATACACTTTGCCAGGCCTTAAGCACAGTTTCCCAGGGTTCACATAAAATGGGAGGTGGCCACCCCATGTTCCCAGATGGCCAATCATCTTAGCAGTCCCCCAAGACAGAATTATGAACTACCTCTTTGCCAAAACGTTAATATGGATGAAAACTCTTTTCAAAGTAGCTTGGATGGGCTGAAGCCACGTGTTAAAGAGCTCACTCAAACCCCTGCTTCTAAATGTATGTGACCAGACAAATTTAACTCTACTTTATCAATTTACAAGACCGTAATTGTTCAAATGGCTATCAAACCAATCATCTAGAAAACAGTCTAGGTCCCAACTGTTTATTCTTCACTCGTTTTTTTAAAAGTTTACCATGTTCTACAACATTACAGAGTACACGGTTTCCAAAAAGACATGGTCTTTTTTGAGAGGGGAATGCTCCAAAACTGCTGAGAGATGTGAACAATAAAAGGTCTACTGTTCACTGGAATCGGTAACCAATTGGAGACCCACCGTTACAGGGGTACTGCTTGTTCCTTTTTGCTCTGCAGTTGTATTCATCCTCCCCTTCTGTTAGTTCTATAAATCTACTTCCTGCAGTCATCGAACACGCCACCTCTAAGCTTCACACGATCCTCAAAATTCTCTTCAATAAACATGTCTACAGCTCACACTGTACTCAATTCTATATTAATGCATAAGAGTGCTCCTCTCCCACTTCACTTCCCACTCCGCTTGGAGACAGTAAGCTTTTTTATAAGGTTTATGGCTATTTTTTACTTCCCCAAAGTACTCAGCGCAGACTCATTGGCCAGTTGATAAAAGATTGAGCTGTAGGTCATGGCAAGTAGAAAAGAACAATACAGCGATCTGATCCAGGAAATGTTCTAGACAGTGAGCACAGCCAAAGGCAGGCCCATAATCTTCTATTTTCATTGTCAACGGCTGTAAGGCAACCACCGAAAGGATCGCTGCGCATTTGCTTTGCTCTGGGGACCTGAAAGACAATCTTGTGACATGTCTGAACTTGAATTACACAACACTGGCACTCATTCATAGGTCTAAACCCTCACCGTCAGCATCCACCTCGTTGATCATATCCTGCAATTCGGCTTCTGTTGGGTTCTGACCCAGTGACCTCATGACAGTTCCAAGTTCCTTTGTTGTGATGGTGCCATCGCCATCTTTGTCAAATAGGGAGAAAGCTTCCTTGAACTCTGAAAACAAAAGTTTACCCTTTAGAATGAACATCTTTACCCAACCCAGCCACAGCACACACTTCCCTTGGGCTTGCCAAAGCAAACCATCCAAGTCTGCACACTATCAGAAACTGCCTGGTCTTTATCTACTGAAATAAAGACCACAATAGTCCCATTGGACAGACCTTCATTCAGCAGTCCATAAAGCAAACACTGCTCCTGGTAACTGGTTCCATAAAACCACAGTATCTTCATATTTTTTAAAGAAAACTAAGCCAACATACTCAAATTAGTCTGATCTGACAAGTGAAGATTGGTCCACGTGTTCCCTTAAAGTCCCTTCCTGTTAAATTTCTATAGCCCTCTGAACTCATTTCACAGGGGTTACTAGAAACCTATTCCCAGGTAACCAGCGTGTCCTCTCCATATGGCACTTATGGCATTTCAAAGGTATCCCTGGTTTCCTAAAGAGAAATCCCCTCAAAAAAGTCCTCTAAGGAATACCAAATGCTAGAATCTAAACTAACTCCCTTAATTATTATTATTGTAGTCCCAACCCTCATTTTCACCCATTCCCATTTATTTTCCAATAGAAAGCACAAGCCTTCATGGTGAATTACTAAAAGACCTGTGGCACAAGAATTCTACACTGCATTTCTGAGTAGCAGGCTCAGCGCAATCTCATTACACGCAAAGCCTTGACCACCACAAAGTCAAACACTCCAGGGTGAACAAGTATTCCTAGCTCCACTCCCTTTCATACTGCCTCGTAAACACTGGCAAGGAATTAACACCTGACCCAAATATTTCTGCTGATTGCTTCCATTTAAATAAGTTCTTAGAAAACTGCTCAAATTATAGGGGGGGAAGGGTCAGAGAAGTCACTCAAACTGAGTGGTGCCTAGTTCTGGCCTACTGGGACTTCCTAAGGTCATCAACTTACCAGCAATCTGTTCTTCGGTCAGCTGATCAGCCTACATAAAGAAAGAAGAGGTTATAACTCAATGCAAGCGTTGATTGAGAGCAAGAGTTTTCCCAATGATACTTTTGATACTGACTTTTCAAAAAAAAAAATCTTAAAAAAAGAAAAACCCAACCATTTGAAAATGTTAGAGATTAGATGAAAACAATCAGAACAAAGGGAACACTCTGTGCTATCTCAAAAAACAAAGGGTGACAAAGAAGTGACATTTCACTTCAGGTTTTCTTTGCTGGGCCTGTGGCTGTGTGCTCAGAGGTCTACCGTGGAAGGGTCAGTTCATAATTTGAAAAATGGCACCTCTAGTGGCAAAAGGCCACACCACATCGGATGCTGCGGCCAGCTCTGAGAAAGAGCGCCACCTACTGCGCCAGGGACACCGCAGTCCCCCCCCTCCACCCGAGGATCCCAGCCTGACGCTGCTGTCACCACAGCCAGGATCGTGGCCAGGGGCAGGCTTTTAGCGCACCTTTAGCGCATTGCTGCGAGCGCTCCAAAATCTCCAAATAGGCGTTACATAATGGCATTGAGTGGGATTAACAGGCTTTCATATCTATTCTACGAGATACAATTATGTGGAAAAAATAAATCCGCAGCAATGGGTTACCCCCACCAACTTCATTTCCGTGTAGTAAGTGCTTTCCATTTAAATTAGGCAGTTATTTATTAAAAGCCTACCATGTATAATGGGTGATGCCCTCAGTCCAATTATCTTTGATAGAGAAGCCAGGGGGAAAAAAATGCAACTACCCCTACAAGTGAGCGGTTACGAGAGTGCAAACGTCATGTACACACAGAAGTACATAATAATTATGAGACTGCACCTTGTCTTTTCTGGAAAAAGAGCAACTACTAACTCTGCTGGAGGATATTTACTCTACCAATCTCCAGGATGACATAAGAGCCGCTGATGATAAACACACTTTACTCGAAGGTGGGGACAGCCATGAAGGAAATTCACACTTGCCTTGTCCGGTTCGCTGCAACACGGAACCTAAGCCCTGTGCCTCCAGCCTGCAAGGAGAGCTGGTATGTGTTTTTTATTTCACTGAGGGACACCCAAGGAAGCCGATCACACGCTAAGTCCTAAAAGAGCGCTAACCACCTTCTGTTTACGTTGTCAAGTGAAAACTTGCCCAAGAGGTGCGATGTTCCAACAGACGGATTTAAGGGAAAACTTATTTTTTGTTTTAATTAGAATCGGATCTTCCTTCCTCTCTACCCCAGTCGCGGGAAGGCGGTTTTCTTTATGTCCCACGAAGGAGACGATGATTTACGTAACGCCAGGACAACACCTGTCTTCGTACAACAGGGAGCCCTGCCACACCTGGAGCCAGAAGCTGCCCCCCTGGCGGGGACCACGGTCCCGCCTCACCGCCGAACTCTCGGTCGGGGAGGATTCCGAGCCTCAGCCTTCCTCGACAAAGAAGCCCCCGCCCCCAAGTGGCTCAGGCCTGAGGGCAAGGGTGCTCGGGGCCCGGCGGGAGCCACCTCCCCATCCCGCCGAGCCAGGAGCCGCGGTGATGTCAGCCCTGCCCGCCCCGGAGGAAGGGGCCGAGCACACACCCAGCGGGGCGCACAGGCGCATCTGGCAATCTAGACGCTGCAGAGAAAGCGGAAACGCGGAGGGCATCTCCCCGCGGACCGCAAGGCGGCGAGGGGCCGGGCGGGGGTGCGCGCCCCGGGCGCAGCGGGGCGCAGCGGGGCGGGGGCACCGCCCTTCCCCGGCCGGGACCCCCCTGCACTCCCACTCCCGCGCCGAGCCCGCCCCGCGCCGCCGCGCCTCCCACCCGCTTCTGCTCCCCCAGGCGGCGAGCCGCACCGCCGCCTCCTCCCGGGGCAAACTTTGCGTCTCTAATGGAAACCGAGCCGCGCGCCAGCTCCCAGCTCCAGCTCCCAGCTCCAGCTCCCTCCTCCCCCGCCCCCCCGCCCCAATTAGAGCGAGCCGAGCGCCTCCCGCGGGAAGGGACCTCCCGGTGCACCGAGGAGCACGCACGCCGGCACCGCCGCCCTGGGCGGGGGGCTGCAGGGCGCAGCGCGGGGGTCGCGCCCCGGCCACACCGCAGGGCCCCGCCCGGGCGCAGGGCGGCCGGCCCGCCGCTTCCGCCCTCTCCGCCCCCCACCCCTCGCCTTCCTGCCCCCACCCCACCCTTCCCCGGCTCCTTCCTTCCCAGCCCACGCCCGCGCCGCGCCCCCCGGGAGGGAGGCGGCTGAGCCGCTGAGCCGCTGAGCCGCTGAGCCGGGGCCGCCGGTGGGGGAGGCGGCGGACGCGGACTGCGCCCCTCACGCCGGGGCCGGAGCGAGGTGCGCCACCGGCCGGCGCGGGCCCATTCATTCTCCGCCGCCCGCCCGGCCCGCCGCCTCCGAGCCTGGGGCGGCGGGGGAGGCGGGGGGAGGGGGGGCCGAGTGCCCGGCCCCGCCCGGCTCCCCCGCCCCCCCGGGGCCCCGGGGCCCCGGCCCAGGCGCGGCGCTGCGGGAAGCCCGGGTGCGGCGCGCTGGATGCAGCGGTGCGGGGCTGGGGGAGGGGGTGGATGCGGAAGGCCCCGGGGCGGCTACGGCCGACAGCGCTCGGCCACGTCCAGCTCCAAGAGGGGCCCGGACAGCACTAAGACGCCCTGGCCGAGGAAAGCGCGACGCAAACCCAAAGTGCGTCCTCCCGAACCGCGGCTGCTGCGTAACAGCACCCGGAAAAGAGGGGGGAACCGCCGTCCCAAAGGGGGGGGCGCTGAACTAAATATCTGGAAGAAATCACGGGCAAGGCAGCTGCTACGCCGCCGTTCACCACTCCCGACCTACCATGGTGCGAGCGAAGGGAGGAAGCGCAGAGGGAGCGAGGGTGGCTGCACCAGCGCCGGGGCTGTGACCGCGGGGCTGCCTCCGCTGCTGCTGCCGCTGCCGCTGCCGCTGCCGCTGCTACGGCGCGAGGTGCGCTCAGCGCTGTGCCGCTGCCGCTGCCGCTGCCGCCGCCCGACTGCGAGGAACGGCGCCGCGCCCGCGAGCCTCCCAGCAGCACTGCCGAAGCGCCAGCCTGCGCCCCGCGGTATATATACGGCGCTCCGTATCCCTCCGCCGCGGCCGCGGCCCGCTCGCTCGGGGCGCCGCCGGGAGGGCCGGGCCTCGCCCGCTGGGCCCCGCCCCCCGCCCGCCGCGCCCCGCCCCCTCCGCCCCGCCGCGCCCGCCGCGGGCCCAGGCGGGGGGCCCCGGGACGCGCAGGGCCGGGGCGGCGGAGGCGAGCGCCCTGCGGGGGCGGAGCAGAGGCCGGTGGGGCGCGGGGTCCCGGGAGACCCCCCGTCGGGGCCGGGGGCGGCCCTTTATTGAGAAGCTGTCCGCCTCTCGCCCCTGCCCCACCTCCACCTGTGGGACACCCCCCCCCACTCACATCTTTTACACCTTCTCCTGGGGCAGCCGGGTCCCCCAGGCCCGGCGCCCCGGGGCTCCCCAGCTAGCCGCCCTCCGTTCGGGGAGTTCCCGGAGGTCCCGGGGCAGGAGACGGCCGCGGGGAGCTGGGGACCGAGGAATTGCCTGCACGCTTCCCGGCCTTGCGGAGGGTCTGGAAGGGACATGGCAGTTTTCCTGGTGCAAGAAATCGGCTAGATGCTTTTTCTTTTAAAAACTTGAAATAGGTAGATAGATGGATAGATAGATAGATAGATAGATAGATAGATAGATAGATAGATAGATAGATAGATAGATAGATAGATAGATATTTGAAGCAATTTCTGAAACAAATTCTATATGCCGAGTTGCTAAGTCTGTGTCATGCCCATAATACTTAGCCAGTCTCCTAACGTTTTCACGTTTCCACTGAATGTTTTTTGTATGCCTGAATAATATCTCTCCCTTAACTGTTTTGTTTCCTATGGAAAATACTAAAAAAAAAAAAGAAAAAAGAAAAAAAGAAAAAAAAAAGGAAAATACTATTCATCCTGGTTCTGGCCTTGTACCTGTGTGAATCCTCTGTAGACTTTGAAACTCATGCTTTGATTTTTTTTTTTTTCTTCATTTTCCTGGTCCTGAGAGGGATCAGGTCTTTATTCCTAAAAACAAAGGAGAGAAAAAATAGGCACTTAGAATCCCCTAGTTTAGAGGTGGAACACACGGCGAGTTGTCTTTACAGGGGAGCTAGATCATATTTTAATGTACAATGTGGATTCTGTTCCTTTCTTTAAAATATTTTCTCTTTAAGTTTACTAATGTCAGTTTTTCTGTAAACTAGAAAAAAAAGGGCAATTTCAGTTATTAATTGGAAATGAGAACTTGTAAAAAAAAAATCTTGACAAAATGCTGCAGTTAGTTTTCTTGCCAAGGCAGAACACAGAGTTTGATCTTTTGTTTACAGGCCCTGGGCAACAGTTGCACTCTGCCATTTGTTTACTGGTTCAGAGAATGTGCAAAGTGTGTAATTGACAAACTCTGCTAGAAAGGGCTTCCGTGGTTACCTTTATTTCTGGCTTTGACAAACTCTACAGAACAGAAAAGACTTTTTTTTTTTTTTTTTTTTTTTTAATGAAAAATGCTCAGGCACATTGCAGATGCTGCAAGACTTCTGGGATCACCTCTTGGGAACTGTTCTTACTGCTGTTCCTTCTAACATGCTGCAGAAAGGGTGAATGTGCCATTCGGTTTAAAGAGGCTGCAGCAGCAAGCCAGGGAATGGTGTTACCTCCTCTCTGCAGATTAAAAAGACATTATGCACTTCACACATCTACCAGTAGTCCTCATCTTCCTCCTCCTCCTCCTCCTCCTCCTCCTCCTCCTCCTCCTCCTCCTCCTCTTCCTCTTCTTAGTCTTGTGCTTGCTATGGCAGGAAACCTGAGTGGCAGAGTTGGAAATGGGGAAATAGAGGGAAAGGAACTAATGCAAAATCAATTTAAAGAATACTCAATAATCTGGTGAGTTACAAATCGAAAGGGCCAAATACATCTCAAAACTGCTTCATTTCTAAAGGAACTTATATTCTTTTTTTTAAGATTTTATTTATTTATTCATGAGAGACACAGAGGCAGAGACATAGGCAGCAGGAGAAGCAAGCTCCATGCAGGGAGCCCGAAGCAGGACTTGATCCTGGGTCTCCAGAATCATGCCCTGGGCTGAAGGCAGGCACCAAACCGCTGAGCCACCCAGACACCCCAGGAACTTATATTCTTTTGTCAGGCTCTTCATGTACTGAAGTACATTTTAAAAATACAGTATATATTATGTTAGTAAGGAGAAATAATGGCCTAGAAATGAAATGTGCTTAATTATTACGGATTCATGATGTGAAGCACAGTAGAAATACAGTCTAGCAGGACTTTATACATGGTAATACTAAAAAGTTTTTACAAAAAATATGTGAAAAGCTAATATAGAAGGCATTATGATGGGATGCCACTATGGAATAAAGATATTGTCTTAAATTCATCAACACTGAACATTCTTCCCTATTGATTATGGCATTTACAAATACATACTGGGTTGAAAAAATATTAATTAAATTCTGTCTTCCATTCCTTAGATTATTTTGATTAAATTGCAACAATTCATGATTTTGAAAATAGTATTTCTCCCCCATCACTTAACCAACGTCACCCAAATAAAATACTTTGAAACTTTTTCATGACTTTACTTGCTAAAAACTGTACATTGTAGAATCATTTTTACTCATCTAGTAAAATTCATTATTCTGAATCTTTACTAGCTTAAGTTCTCTTTTGGTAATTCTTTAGTGTATCAAAGCACGTCTCACCTTTCAAGTCTACTGGGTTTGTAGTGAGGTCATCCTTTAGTTTTTTGGCTAGTTTGACACACTGAAATATGAGAAGGTCAGTGACTTGCCCAAGATCTTACTGTGAATCAAAGATGGAGCATAAAGTAGAGCATAGGCCCTTGCACAGGGGTCCTAATAATAGATTACATATGAGTGAAATCAATATCTGAAAACTTTAAACATACAATGTGAAGGATTTTCCTGTTTCATGAAGTAGATTCTTCTACCTAGATGATCCCTGGGTTTTCATTAAAGTCAAATGGACTTTTTTTTTTTAATTTTACTTATTAATTTGACAGAGTAAAAGAGATCACAACATGGGGGAGGGTCAGAGGGAGGAGCAGACTCCCCTCCCCGTTCGTTAAGTGGGGAGCCCCATGCAGGGCTCAACACTGGGACTCTGGGATCATAACCTGAGCTAAAGGCAGACCCTTAATCAACTGAGCCACCTAGGCACCCTAGACTCTTGTTTTTAATAATATTTTTTTTTACATTTGATCTTAGCCAAAAGGCTGAGAAATTATTTTATCATGGTTTTTAAAAAGATTTTATTAAAAAGAAAAATATTTTATTTTTAGGGGTGCCTAGGTGGTTCAGTCAGTTAAGTGGCCAGCTCTTGATTTCAGCTCAGGTCATGATCTCAGGGTCCTGGGATGGAGCCTGGGGTTGGGCTCTGAACTTAATGGAGGGTCTGCTTGAGATTCTCTCTCTCCCTCTGCCCCTACTCACCCCTGCCTGTTCTCTCTCTCTCTCTCTCTCTCTAAAATAAATAAATAAATCTTAAAATAATTTTTTTTAAAAATTTTACTTTTAAATAATCTCTACACCCAGCATGGGGCTCAAACTCACAACCCCAAGATCAAAAGTTGCATGCTCCACCTACTGAGTCAGCCAGGCATCTCCAAACATACTCTTTTAAATCAATAAACTTCCTAATTTATGGAGAGATCAATCAGGAAACTAGCCACATTATTGTGATATCATTTTCTACTGAGAACCCAAAGTCTATGGAATAGCTTAAGATATTGAGAGGAAATGGTTATTATCATTGTTATTATTTAAATAAAATAACATCACATGGAAGACAAAAAAAAAAAAAAAAAAATGCAGTCCCAAGCCAGGCATCTAAGGTTGCAATGTCATTCTGTCATTAACCAAATCACCACTTCATCACTAAGTCAGACTCTAAGTCTGATAGAATACGAATATAAAAATCATACATACTCAGAAATAAAACAGGAGTTTTGGACTTGATCTATAAATTCCTTCCAGCTATAAAACTCTGTGCCTCGGATTATAATATATATGATTATTAATGTACATATCATGCACATACATATATACATACACACAAACATGCATATGTGGAAGATGAAGGGCGCAAATGAAGAAATGGAAATACATTAAAAATGAAAACAACTTTGGGACCTGGGTGGTTCAATCAGTTAAACACCTGCCTTTGGCTCAGGTCATGATCCCAGCATCCTGGGATTGAGCCCCTCATTGGGCTAGGTGGGGAATCTGTTTCTCACCCCTTCTCTCCTTCTGCCCCTCCCCCCCCGCCCGTGTTCTCTCTCTGTCTCAAATAAATAAATAAAATATTTTTTAAAAAATGAAAACAACCTTAGGGTGCCTGGGTGGCACAGTTGGTTAAGTATCTGACTCTTGATTTTGGTTCAGGTCATGATCACAGGGTCATGAGACTGATGTCAGGGTCGTGAGCCGGGGGTTGGGCTCCACGCTCAGTGTGGAGCCTGCTTGGGATTCTCTCTTCTTCTCCCTCTGCCCCTCCTATTCATGCTCTCTCTCTCTCTAAGATGGGTAAAAAGAATTTTGCTGAGCATTGACTATGACTAGGCCCTGTGCTAAATGCATTATTTTGTTCTCCTGCCCTCTCCATGAGGCAGGTATTATTATCCTTATGTGGAAACAGGCACTGGAAGATTCAGTGATTTTCCTAATTTAAGTGGTAGAACCCAAAGATCTAGCTCCAAACACTTTGGACATTACACTATAACTATCTCCTGTGATTTAAAAAAATTTATTTTTAATTTAATTTTCTGGGGGGAGAAAGAAGCACAAAGATTAATATGAAAACCTGTTTTTTAGGGGTGCCTGGCTGGCTCAGCCCATAGAACATGGGACTCTTGACCTCAGGGTTGTGAGTCTGAGCCTCACATTGGGTAAGGAGATTACTTAAAAATAAAATCATAAAACAAATTAAAAAGTAAAATTTGTTTTTTAAAAAAATACTTCTTACCCAAGGATTTGAAA